CGTAGTGTGCGGCCGCCGGATACCTTACACCGGCGCCCGCAACTTCCCCACAGGGTCACCGCTGCCGCCCGTCGGCACTCTGCCGCCCCGAGGCCGGGCCTCGGTGGCCTTGTGGGAAATCCGGGCCTGAGTGTCAGGTCACCTGCGTACATGGCTGCAAAATTATATATTACACAAAAATAGGATTGCAGTTAGTAAAATACATGAGCAACACAGATGAGTATCTGCTGATCTTTTCTCTTCTTGATGATTGTAGTGTTATTTTCAGATAGGAATGATCCATATAATAGACTCAGGGAAGAACATTTTCCTCATGGTAAGCTCCCTATATCGGACATGCAGAAGCTGTGACCTTGCTTGCTACTTTAGTATATTTCTGCATGCAACATAAGAACTCTTCTAAGTATAAATACACGCTATAATAGTAACCTGAGCACCCTTTGCATTGCCTGATTGGCAGCATATATTCTACCGATCTCTATAGTGCATACAAATTCATAGTGTACCTTGGTCCTGCTGCAAAGGGAACAAAGGCATGAGAGTGGCGCTTAGCAGAATTTTCTGGTGAAAATCGCAAAGGATCAAATACCTGCAACACAGAGATAATGTTACCCAGTGTCATTCTGTTCACGGAGAAACACAGAGGGAGTGGGGAGGTTGGAGGACAAATCTTATAACATATGTTGTTGTTTCTACACCAGAAATCACATTACACTCTACAAGGAAGTGAATTTCACTGAGAAGTCTTTTCTTCTACAATGGCAATTCCATTTCAATGTTCAATTGTAAACTACCAGTTTGAAGATGGTAACAATCTGGGGGGGGATCACCTATGGGCACGCAGCCAGGCAAATGATAAGGAGCTCTGAATTCTTCTAGCCTGATTAGTGACACGCAAGGTCACTGGGGGGGGGATGGAGGACACTGGAGAACACCGAGGGGGAGAGTTGTGGAGTAGAGAGATAGATTTGAGTGTCATGTGAGGTTATCAACTGACCAAGAGAGGGGGTGTAGATAGAGAAGAGGTCCAAGGACAGAGCCCTGGGGGACCCCTACAGAAAGAGGAAGAGAAAGAAAGAGAGGAGTTAGATTTGTAGGTGACACTAAAGGAGGAGCTTAGCTAGGTAGGAGGAGAACCATGAGAGAGCCGAGTCTTGTAAGCCGAGTGGAGTTTTTTTGAGCAGCAGCAGGTGGTCAACAGAGTAAGGAGTAGCGGGGGGTCAGAGTAAGGAGTAGCGGGGGGTCAAAGTAAGGAGTAGCGGGGGGTCAAAGTAAGGAGTAGCGGGGGGTCAAAGTAAGGAGTAGCGGGGGGTCAAAGTAAGGAGTAGTGGGGGGTCAGAGTTAGGAGGGCAGTTTCAGTGGAGTGTTTTGGGGGCAAAAGCCGGACTGTAAGGAGTGGAGAAGGTTGTTATCAGTGAGGTGGTGGCTCAGGCAGCTGTAGATAAGGCATTCTAGGAGTTTGAATGTGAATGGGAGTAAGGAGATTGGTCTGCGATTATTAAGGTTTGTAGGGTGCAGTGAGGGTTTTTTGGGGCATTGGGGTGACCAGCACGTGCTTTAGAGGGTGGGGGGGATGCCAGTAGAGAGGGAAAGATTGAAAGTGTGATAGCTACTAGTTAGCAATTTACTATAAGTATGATCTCTTAAAATCTGATTGCAATGGTAGGATATTAGTACGTGTGCCATTTGTTGTTGTTTCCTGTGACCACATTGGGGTACTTTGGTCACATTGTCTAACTTTAGTTGTCCTTGTACCTTCAGTACCCGGATCTGGTACAGGGAGGGAGAAGCAGTGAAGGCTCCCTCTAGAAGTGACAGAGGTTAAAGAAAACTACACTTCCGTTACTGATAACTGGCATCATGAATTGTTGTGCTAATTGTAAACAATGTATTTACATGAGCAGCATTAATGTGTTTGTTGACAGTCCACCAAGTTAAACATTTTCACTTATTACTGGCAGTAAGTTTACAGCTTTTTTTTTGCTTAAATCAACTAGAAAAAAAATGATTAGCATGTCTTAAGGTTAGAGTCAAAAACATAAAAGCTATGGATTCATGATTCAGTCAATAACATACTTCACATACTATGGCTGGATTGATGGGCCATTCTGACCAAGGAACTACAGACATAGCAGCCTCTGCTGTGTGCAGCCCTACCCCTGCTTTGGTGTGTTGGACCTGCCAACCCCCCCCCCTACTATCGTCACAACCTGCATGCTTCCTCTGCCTTCAGATCTGCTGCCATTTTAGGTATATCTCTACATTTCGGGGTTATGAGGAGGCAGGAAATGTGGGCTGAAGGCTTGAATTCTTTTTTTGTGCACGCTATTTACACTTATTCACACTCTGGGAAAAGAAAAGGAACCTGGAGGAAACATGTTGCTGAAAAACTTTCAATAACAGAAGCTGATATATTTATTAACCAGTTGACATCCGTGGTGTTAAACCCCCTTCCTGGCCAGGCCATTTTTCAGTGACAACTGACAGATTTACCAACATTTCCATAATACATTAACTGGCCTTGTCCTGTGCACGTATCTAGCAATCTCACAGTAAGGAAAAGTATAGAATATTAGTGCTACTAGAAGGCCATACCTCGGGGTCCTTCCACACGGCAGGGTTCCGCTGAATGCAATAAATATTTAAACTGACAAGAGAACCTAAAAAGTGCATAAAAAAATGAAAGATTAGATAACATCTTAATATCAAACTATCAAACACTGTGCAGGATTGTCTTCTTGCAAGATTGGGGATCCTAAGCGTTCCAGGATCTGACCGAAAGGCCGCCACCCATTTCCCATGTGGCATGGGAAGATGATGCGATGCAAGACAAGTATATCTTTTGTCCTCCTTGGCTGTGGGTTTTCTTTATCATTTATTATTTTGTTTTATAATCATTTATTATTTTGTTTTATAATCATTTATTATTTTGTTTTATAATCATTTATTATTTTGTTTTATAATGGGGAGCTGGGGCTCTAACAATGAAGCAGACATTGCATTTCCATGAGGTTAAGGTTACTACTTTCAAAAAGTGATCCCCTTCTATACAACTGCCTTTAACCACAGGAATCATCAATGACAACAAGTTTTTTTTTAAATAAATAACTTACACCTAATCCCAAGGCTCCAATTCCTAAAACCAGGAATTCTTAACCTGGGCAGAGTATTTTGAAATGCTGTATACCATTAAAAATGTAAATGTGCATCCAAACTCTGTACCATTGTAATAATGCCAATAATGCATTCCCTAGATCAAACAGCCACCCTGATCCTCCCTGATTGATCCGGTCTTTGGCACTACTGGACATATAGAGTTCTAGTTCTGGGTAAGGAGGAGCCCTGTAGAAGCTGGTCCTGTTCTGTGAAAGCTCTGCTGCAATGGATCCTAGAAGATTATATAAAATGTAAAGTAAATTAAAAAGACTTGATGAGTTTAGTATTGTATGAGTGAAAGAAGCTGATCAGTGAGTGAAGTTCAGGCAGTAAAACGTACAATCCAATCATCTATATTCAGATAAGAAAATGAGACATCAAATATGTGCTATTGCTGCAGTGAAACATTGAAGATGTGTGGGAACCGTAACTGCAGAATCATCTACAGAATGATCTTGTGAAGCTTCTTGAGGATCCCACCCACAACTGATTTTTGTGTCACATATATGTTAAGTTTTCTTTTAACCACTTCAAGACCAGGTGTTTAGACCCCCTTCCTGGCCAGGCCATTTTTCAGTGTTCAGCGCTGCGATACTTTGACTGACATCTTATTTTCTTAGCTTTAGAACCTGGCAGATTATCAGGTTGTAAAGCCATAGAAGTCATTACAGTTCAATGATAGAAAGGCTTTTCTATGCTATGCTTCTAGCTCAAAGTGTCCACCTTCCAGTATACATGGTGGAGGGCCCACTCAGGGTGGATTATAACAGAAGCCCCTTTAATTTTACACAAAAAGCTAAAATATTGGACAGACAGACTATAATGGGATTGTACCTGCTGGTAAGGAGCGTCCATCAAAAAACGTGATGGGTTTGGAGAGCTCCCTGGACACGGAGGGCACGGGTGGATAAAGGCGAAGACTTTCCTTAATGCACATTGAGGTGTAGGGGAGTTTGCTTAGATCTTCCCTGAAATAAAACATAAGATTAGGCATTTAACTTTTTAGAAATGAGGGCGAGATGGGGGGAGCCCTGTCAATACTCAATTGCTTTTCATCCTTAGGGTTTGTCACATGAAAGGTAACATAATCATAAAGACTTCTCACCACTCCATGGTGTCTCGCTCCCCCAGGACCTCTCGGATCTCCTCCCGGCACTTCTGCTGGTGTTCCGGATATTTGGCCATACAGTACAAGATCCAGGAGATGCCGCTAGCTGTTGTGTCATGTCCTTCAAACATGAAAGTGTCAACTTCAGCTCGCAGGTCCTCATCAGACAGACCCTGACCATTCCCATCCTGAATTCAATGAAAAAATGGAATTCAAACAAAATACAGTTTATAGTTTCATCTTCGAGACTCGATATATTAGAATTTTCAAGTTCCTGACGTTAGGGTTAAAATAACCTTATGTGTGTAAAGTAGTTATTAAATAAAAAATGACTCCATGAGTTGAATAATACTCTATTATTATTATTATAATACAATATTTTACGGTATTATTCAACTCTTGGAGTCATTTGTTTTATGTTGGGGCTATAAATAATTGTAATTACTGATAGAGCCAAAATATTTTGCAGCGCTCTACAATAGGCGAGACAAGACAATTAAGTAATAATGACAAGAATCATTGACATGCAGAAACATTCGGGAAGCAGGACCCTGCCAAAAAGGAGCGTAAATTCTAGGAAACATATTCAGTGACAGTCTAAGCACATATTTTAAAGTCACAGATTTTCTGCATACCAGACTTAGAGGAGGTGAAATCTCAAAAACAAAGCAAGTGCCTTAGGGTTAGGGTTAGTCCTGATTCGCTAAAGCCTTGCACCTGACCAGAGGAGGTTGAGGATGAGAAGAGCATTCTCTTTCACATAGGGTAAGCGATTGGTTTACGCTTTCCAGGGGTTAATAGGCTATTTAGCCTAATTATATCTGTGCCCTTATTGGTGTTACTTGGAACGAACGAATGGTGCTGATTGGTTGACTACCAATTGGATGATTGCCACATGATCTCCATTAGCTGAGGTGTCTGTATATATTCCTATGCCTTTCTGTAATATACGAGCTCTGAGGAAGGGGGAAGCTCCCTAAAAACGTGTCAGCATATTGGTTGTCTTCGTTGGTAGTGATATTGGTTGTGATTGGTTTGCCAATTTGTTGCTCATCGGAATGCGAGTAGTTTTTATGGAAGATTTTGTATGCTCTTTAAAATAAATGTTTTTACACTTGGAGAGGGCGTGGCAAGTTTTTTGTGTTGCAGGATAATGACCCAGCTCAAAGGATGAGCACATGGACTCAGTAAGACTTAGTGGAGCAGAAGTTTATGCTGTTTGATGACAATTTCATGTTAGCTGGATGCCTTTAATCTGTATGTTTACTGCTGTCCTGAATAAAGTTGGCCATTTTTGTTGAAGAAACAGTGAGTTTGTCTCTGCCGTGAGACTAATTCCCTACACAAGGCACTTATATACTTCAAGTTGGATCAGAGTGTACAAGAGCTCCTTGGAAAAGCATGTGTATTCCCTGGAGATCCGATATTACTAAATAAATCCCCTTATGTATGGTTAGAGCTGGTCATCAAGGTCATGTAACCAAAATAGCATTGACAAAAAGGGGGGGAGGACAGTGTTCCAAGTGAGGATCACTAAAAAGTGGTTACTAGACAGACCGAGACCAGCGATTGTTTATAAAAGTATACATTTTACTATGACAATAAACTATCAAATTACTGCACCAATAAAAACGTATCTCATTCATTTCATAAAAGAACAACGTTGTTCGTAGCACTCAAACACTCATTCATTCATACTATGGGCCCCACACAGTCTACGGCAAAGCTAGAACCTTGATGATTCAAAGGGGAATACTCCCAGTTGAACACCTAATTTCTATTGGTAATTATGTCCCTAGCAAACGATAGTCTTGGATCGGATATAGTGTTGCAGATCGTCTTCAAGGGTTAGGGTTAGGTGAAACATTAAGGGGGGCTTATAAGTAGTATCAATTTATTGATATTTGTAAAGGAAGGCTCTGACGAAGCCCCGATGGACGGTGCAGTAATTTGACAGTTTATTCTCATAATAAAATTTATACTTTTGGGGCGTGGTCTGGCCGCGCGAGTATATGGCCGCTTGATCCGTGAGCAGCGTCGCCGGATCTGACGAAATTGCAACTAACTTCGGTAATAGGATCGATACACTTACCGAAATAGTCCCGATTGATATCGGAATACCTCCAGAGATGTCCGCAGTTAAAAATAAGTCCAACGGCTCTAAGAAGCTGACGGATTTCTATCCGAGGCCAGGACAGAAGAGCAGTCAAAATGGTGCTGGTGGGAAGTGCGTCACAGGGCCTACTATCACTTCTATTACTCCTTCTCCCTACAGCACCGACTCTGACATGGAGGAGAACTGCAGTCATGAAAAAAATCGTATGCAGGATTTTTCTAAGAGACCTGCCAGCTCTCCATTAGGCTCTCCTCATACTAAAGCACCAATGAATAAAAAACAATCTACAGTTTCTGGTGCAGCCAGCCCAGCCATTACACCGTTACAGGATCTTCCTGCTACTGACACCCCAGCCTCTGAGAATTACATAAAAAATGTGTTACTGTCACTGAGATCAGAATTTCAGCAGGACATCCAGTCCTCTCTTTCTGGATTGCAATCCCAAATATCTGAATTGGGTTCTCGTACTGACAAAGTGGAATCGCTTTTTAATGACTATGCCTCTGCTCATAATGACCTTGTGGATGTCTATTCTGATCAAGATCATATAATTCAGAAATTGCAAGAAAAAATTACTGACTTAGAGGATAGATCCAGACGCAACAATATTAAATTTAGGGGGATCCCTGAATCTGTGGGCCCCACAGAGTTGCCTGTATTTCTTCAAAAGCTTATTCATACCTTACTACCTAATAGCACAGGCCCTGATACGCTAATTGATCGCGCCCACAGGAATATTATGAACCCAACTAATATTACTAACAGTGTTAAAACACAAAAACAAAAAACAAAAAAATGCTTTTATGTATTATTAGTCACTTCTTAGGCCTCCACAGTTATCACATGCTTTTTATTTGTTTTCAAGATGGTTGGAAGAACACTTCCTCCACTTACTGTCCTGAATATGTACTGCATTAGGGCTCTCTCCTATAGAGGTATGCTTCTATATATGACTACTTCTTCCAGTTATGGCACTTGCTAATTACTTATTAAGGCTGCAATTTCACTTAATTTTGACTTCTTCCATATACCTGGAACACTGCTTTATAACAATATAACATACCATTTACCTTCTATATACTGATTTTGTTTATGTATTTATAGCAAGATTTTATTTTCTATATGTCTGTATCTATGTTGTATTATTTTTGTTATTATGTTCTATTGACAAAACCTAATAAATTCATTGTTAAAAAAATGTTTTATACTTTTATAAACAATCGCTGGTCTCGGTCTGTCTAGTAACCACTTTTTAGTGTCCTCACTTGGAACACTGTCCTCCATCCCTTTTTGTCTATACAATAGCTCCTGCATGACATGGCAAACAGTAACAGTCAAAGGTATTAAGAGAACACAACATTCAGGAAATAGATGTACGCAACACTGAAATTTACCTCCCAGATGAAAAGCTTTTTGTTGGGTGCCTGGCCAGGACACAGTTGCTAAGTGAGGAAGGATAAGAGTTGCCCCCTTCCAAGACAACACAGTTCTTTAACCACCTCCCGTCCATGGCCGTTCCCGATGGCTGGACGGGAGCCTTATAGGAGCAGGAGGGCGTCTTAAGACGTCCTGCCCCTCCCCCCGTACATGGCACTTAGCGCGCACACGAGTGGGTAACTGTTAGCAATGTAAACAGCCGGCGATAGCTGTTTACATTCAAGCAATCGGGTGTCTCTAGAGACGCCCAATCGTTTCCAGTAGCTGTGGGTGTTCGCCACTAACCCTAACCCGGGACCCCCACGGCGACGCTGTCAGTGGGGAGGGGGGGAATCTCCGATCCTCCAGCGCTGACTGGCAGGACGGGGGAGGGGGCGGGTACAGCTGGATCTGCCTCTAGATAGGCAGAGCCAGCTGTCACTCTCTCAGCGGGGTGGATCTCGACAGTAATGTCGGGATCCGTCCCGTGTGCGGCGGTCTTAGGTCTCGTTCACACCTAGGCATATTGCATATGCGCATCTGTCGCGTGACCGGCGCACGTTTTTTTACCGCGATTCGCGGTAAAAAAGTCGCGCGACAAACGCGCCTTTCCGAAGGCTACTTGGCTGTATCCCAATGGAAACGCGCAACAAAACGGCCCAGGCGTGGGCCGTTTTGTAGCGCGTTAGGGACGGCGGAAATACGCCAAGGTGGGAACGAAACCATTGAATACAATGGGATTTATATTTTTGAGCGATTTGTAGAGCGTTTGTCGAGCGTAGAACGCGCTACAAAACGTTCCGGTGTGAACGAGGGCTTAGTATAACACCAACTGTAGCTCGCGGTATACTGAGCTTTGGGTCACTGGAGGACGCTAGTTTGTGTCCTACTGTGACCCTGGGGAGAACTATGGGGAAAAGCACTAACCTCATAGTTCTCCTTTAACCCACATTAAAGTGTGGAAAGGTTAGAATTTTTGTACAAGTCATTGTGAATGGAGGAAGCTGGTCGGATGATCAGTGAAACAAGTCCAGTTGCCTTGATTTTTTTTTTTTTTACAGATATAATACCCAATGTTAGAAAGCCTGGTCTCAGTTACACTGACCACACACTAATAGATTTAATCATTAATCTCAACATCACAAACTAGTCTACAGCACATCATCCAGGGATTAGCTGCTTCTATTACAGGCCTTTCATTAACAGATTTCTCCATCTATGCTAAACAGTGTTTATTGACGAATCTCTCACTGGGGCTATTGTATTATGACAGCCAGCACCCGCCACTGTTGGAATATATGAATAGTGACTACAGTTGAATGGCTCCTTCAACAAAAGTCCATTGAATAATCAAGTTTAGTCTAACTGACAGGGCCACTCACTGTAAGAATTTCAGCTGATTTCTGTGAACAGTATATGTACATATAAGAGAATAGCTGCTTTAGTATTAAACAAAGGGTTTCCACCAGAGATATCAATAGGAAGTGATGTAATCACAGATAAACTGACCTTTGAACACAGTAGAATGTCCAGAAAATCAGGGTGTCGCTTTTGTCTGATTTTCTCCAGTTCCTCATTTTTTTCAAGCAGTTTTTTTCTTTGTCCAATAACTTGATCTGATTAAAGAAATAAAAACACATTCTGGATTTCTGTGAAACATTTGTCAAAAAACTCAGAAGAAGGAATTCCCAAATTCACGAGGCATTGCGGATGTTGGAAAGATACACAAGGACTCACCGTGAATGAATCAACTACAGATAGTTTACAAAATACTGTTATCCTGATTAAATAGACATGGAAAGCGGAAATAAAAGAATACATTGTTTACATGACGTGCAAAGTAACAGGACTTTCTAGCTGGATGTTTCCTCAGTTCCATCCATATGTAAGTCTTTCCCAAACATATGGTGGAAAAAATAACCGACTCAGACATAGAAGGAACAACTAAGATAAAAAGCAGAGAGAATGAAGAGCTGAGATAAGAGTCCAGAGAGAAGGAAGAGCCAACATAGAATACATAGAGAAGGAAGAGCCGAGACAGAATCCACAGAGAAGGAAGAGCCGAGACAGAATCCATAGAGAGGGAAGAGCCCAGACAGAATCCATAGAGAAGGAAGAGCCGAGACAGAATCCATAGAGAAGGAAGAGCTCAGACAGAATCCACAGAGAAGGAAGAGCCAACATAGAATACATAGAGAGGGAAGAGCTCAGACAGAATCCATAGAGAGGGAAGAGCTCAGACAGAATCCATAGAGAAGGAAGAGCCGAGACAGAATTCATAGAGAGGGAAGAGCTCAGACAGAATCCACAGAGAAGGAAGAGCCAACATAGAATACATAGAGAGGGAAGAGCTCAGATATAAAACAGAGAGAAGTAAAAGAAGAGCTGAGACAGAACCCAAAAAGAAGGAAGAGCAGAGGTGGAGAATCCAGAGAGAAGAAAAAGCAGCGATAGAATCCAGTCAGAGAGAAGAGCTTAGATTGAATCCAGAGAGAAGGAAGAGCCAGTCTAGAATCCACCCAGACATAAAGGAGAGCCAAGACAGAATCCAGATAAAAAGAAAAGCCCAGATAGATTCCGGAAGCAATGAAGAGCTGAGATAGAATACTGAGAGAAGGAAGAGCAGAGATAGAATCCCAAAAGAAGGAAGATACAAGAGAGAAGGCAAAGAGAAAGAAGAGCTGAAATAGAATCCATAGAGAAGAAAAAGCAGAGAGAAAATCCAGAGAGAAGGAAAAGCAGAGAGAAAATCCAGAGAGAAGGAAGAGCCGACATATGATTCAGAGGGAAGGAAGAGCCGACATAGAATCCATAGAGAAGGAAGAGCCGAGACAGAATCCAGAGAGAAGGAAGAGCCGAGACAGAATCCAGAGAGAAGGAAGAGCCGACATAGAATCCAGAGAGAAGGAAGAGCCGAGATAGAATCCAGAGAGAAGGAAGAGCCGACATAAAATCCAGAGAGAAGGAAGAGCCGAGACAGAATCCAGAGAGAAAGAAGAGCCGAGACAGAATCCAGAGAGAAGGAAGAGCCGACATAGAATCCAGAGAGAAGGAAGAGCCGAGATAGAATCCATAGAGAAGGAAGAGCCGACATAAAATCCAGAGAGAAGGAAGAGCCGAGACAGAATCCAGAGAGAAAGAAGAGCCGAGACAGAATCCAGAGAGAAGGAAGAGCCGACATAGAATCCAGAGAGAAGGAAGAGCCGACATAGAATCCAGAGAGAAGGAAGAGCCAAGACAGAATCCATAGAGAAGGAAGAGCCGACATATAATCCAGAGAGAAGGAAGAGCCGACATAGAATCCAGAGAGAAGGAAGAGCCGAGACAGAATCCAGAGGGAAGGAAGAGCCAAGACAGAATCCAGAGAGAAGGAAGAGCCGACATGGAATACAGAGAGAAGGAAGAGCCCAGACAGAATCCATAGAGAAGGAAGAGCCGACATAGAATACAGAGAGAAGGAAGAGCTGAGACAGAATCCATAGAGAAGGAAGAGCCGACATAGAATACAGAGAGAAGGAAGAGCCAAGACAGAATCCAGAGAGAAGGAAGAGCCGACATATAATCCAGAGAGAAGGAAGAGCCAAGACAGAATCCAGAGAGAAGGAAGAGCCGAGACAGAATCCAGAGAGAAGGAAGAGCCGACATAGAATCCAGAGAGAGAAGAAAGAGCCGAGACAGAATCCAGAGAGACGGAAGAGCCGAGACAGAATCCAGAGAGAAGGAAGAGCCCAGACAGAATCCAGAGAGAAGGAAGAGCCGAGATAGAATCCAGAGAGAAGGAAGAGCCGAGATAGAATCCAGAGAGAAGGAAGAGCCGAGACAGAATCCAGAGAGACGGAAGAGCCGAGACAGAATCCAGAGAGACGGAAGAGCCGAGACAGAATCCAGAGAGAAGGAAGAGCCGAGACAGAATCCAGAGAGAAGGAAGAGCCGAGATAGAATCCAGAGAGAAGGAAGAGCCGAGACAGAATCCAGAGAGAAGGAAGAGCCGAGACAGAATCCAGAGAGAAGGAAGAGCCGAGATAGAATCCAGAGAGAAGGAAGAGCCGAGATAGAATCCAGAGAGAAGGAAGAGCCGAGACAGAATCCAGAGAGAAGGAAGAGCCGAGACAGAATCCAGAGAGAAGGAAGAGCCGAGATAGAATCCAGAGAGAAGGAAGAGCCGACATAGAATCCAGAGAGAAGGAAGAGCCGAGACAGAATCCAGAGAGAAGGAAGAGCCGACATAGAATCCAGAGAGAAGGAAGAGCCGAGACAGAATCCAGAGAGAAGGAAGAGCCGACATAGAATCCAGAGAGAAGGAAGAGCCGAGACAGAATCCAGAGAGAAGGAAGAGCCGACATAGAATCCAGAGAGAAGGAAGAGCCGAGACAGAATCCAGAGAGAAGGAAGAGCCGACATAGAATCCAGAGAGAAGGAAGAGCCGAGACAGAATCCAGAGAGAAGGAAGAGCCGACATAGAATCCAGAGAGAAGGAAGAGCCGAGACAGAATCCAGAGAGAAGGAAGAGCCGACATAGAATCCAGAGAGAAGGAAGAGCCGAGACAGAATCCAGAGAGAAGGAAGAGCCGACATAGAATCCAGAGAGAAGGAAGAGCCGAGACAGAATCCAGAGAGAAGGAAGAGCCGACATAGAATCCAGAGAGAAGGAAGAGCCGAGACAGAATCCAGAGAGAAGGAAGAGCCGACATAGAATCCAGAGAGAAGGAAGAGCCGAGACAGAATCCAGAGAGAAGGAAGAGCCGACATAGAATCCAGAGAGAAGGAAGAGCCGAGACAGAATCCAGAGAGAAGGAAGAGCCGACATAGAATCCAGAGAGAAGGAAGAGCCGAGACAGAATCCAGAGAGAAGGAAGAGCCGAGACAGAATCCAGAGAGAAGGAAGAGCCGAGACAGAATCCAGAGAGAAGGAAGAGCCGAGACAGAATCCAGAGAGAAGGAAGAGCCGAGACAGAATCCAGAGAGAAGGAAGAGCCGAGATAGAATCCAGAGAGAAGGAAGAGCCGACATAAAATCCAGAGAGAAGGAAGAGCCGAGACAGAATCCAGAGAGAAAGAAGAGCCGAGACAGAATCCAGAGAGAAGGAAGAGCCGACATAGAATCCAGAGAGAAGGAAGAGCCGAGACAGAATCCATAGAGAAGGAAGAGCCGACATAGAATCCAGAGAGAAGGAAGAGCCGAGACAGAATCCATAGAGAAGGAAGAGCCGACATAGAATACAGAGAGAAGGAAGAGCTGAGACAGAATCCATAGAGAAGGAAGAGCCGACATAGAATACAGAGAGAAGGAAGAGCCAAGAAAGAATCCAGAGAGAAGGAAGAGCCGACATATAATCCAGAGAGAAGGAAGAGCCAAGACAGAATCCAGAGAGAAGGAAGAGCCGAGACAGAATCCAGAGAGAAGGAAGAGCCGACATAGAATCCAGAGAGAGAAGAAAGAGCCGAGACAGAATCCAGAGAGACGGAAGAGCCGAGACAGAATCCAGAGAGAAGGAAGAGCCCAGACAGAATCCAGAGAGAAGGAAGAGCCGAGATAGAATCCAGAGAGAAGGAAGAGCCGAGATAGAATCCAGAGAGAAGGAAGAGCCGAGACAGAATCCAGAGGGACGGAAGAGCCGAGACAGAATCCAGAGAGACGGAAGAGCCGAGACAGAATCCAGAGAGAAGGAAGAGCCGAGACAGAATCCAGAGAGAAGGAAGAGCCGAGACAGAATCCAGAGAGAAGGAAGAGCCGAGATAGAATCCAGAGAGAAGGAAGAGCCCAGACAGAATCCATAGAGACGGAAGAGCCCAGACAGAATCCAGAGAGACGGAAGAGCCGACATAGAATCCAGAGAGAAGGAAGAGCCGAGACAGAATCCAGAGAGAAGGAAGAGCCGAGACAGAATCCAGAGAGAAGGAAGAGCAGAGACAGAATCCAGAGAGACGGAAGAGCCCAGACAGAATCCATAGAGACGGAAGAGCCCAGACAGAATCCAGAGAGAAGGAAGAGCCGAGATAGAATCCAGAGAGACGGAAGAGCCGAGATAGAATCCAGAGAGAAGGAAGAGCCGAGACAGAATCCAGAGGGACGGAAGAGCCGAGACAGAATCCAGAGAGACGGAAGAGCCGAGACAGAATCCAGAGAGAAGGAAGAGCCGAGACAGAATCCAGAGAGACGGAAGAGCCGACATAGAATCCAGAGAGACGGAAGAGCCCAGACAGAATCCAGAGAGATGTATTATAACAGAGAACATGATGGTAAAGAGTAGGGATGCACCGATAACAAGTACAGTGCTCGGTACGAGTACAAGTACCGATACTTTCCGAGCTCCAAGACTACACTAGAGAAAAATTCAAAAGTTAGGAGGCAGCTGTCATGTAGCACACGGAGCTCCCGGGATTTGTACATCTCGGTTTTAATATATGATTTTGTTTTTATGAATATATAGTCGGGATGCACCAATACCAGTTTTGCGAGTACAAGTACTGATACATTTTTGTTTATTGTCATGTGACAATTTTTCTAAAACAATACAGACCAATGATTTCAGGACAGTGGTGGAGCACTAGATCCAGGTTCCAGCTGCAACCCGGGGAGTTCTCATGAAAATGCCAAGTATCGGCATTGGTACTCGAAAAGTATCGGTGCATCCCTAGTAAACAGTGACTGAACCTAAAGAGAGTCTTGTGACACTGTTGGGGAATAATGAGAAGAGTTATAGGTCAATATTTGTGTGGATGACACATGACAACAAACTGCTTTCATGGTCATGTACAATATACAGTATACACATCACATATACAAACTGACAGATTTCAGACATGTGATTTATTGTGCACCCCCTGATATTCTGGATGCAGATGGATGCATGACACAATATCATTTAACACTGCTTTCAGAAACATATTACCAGTGTTAGGGTTCAAGTTTGCTGTCAGAGCACAGCCCCATTACAAAGAATATACACAACATACCACAAAACACATTACAGTCAGAGGATTCACAGACCAAAGCAATCAGACAGGAGGGAGCAGGACGTACATCACCACCCTGCTCTCTGCATGCATCTCAAGCTTTCATTATTGTTGGAGTTATATTTTATAAAACTGAAAGTCATTTACCAGTATGAAGATGGGCAATTCTGCAAGCTTTGCGAAAACGGAAGCCATGAGGGCTCAAATGGTAAATGAGATTGCTGTGATACGGAAACGTCCGGATTCGTTGTTGCGTCAGACTGGCAAGGTCATAGACAGCGCCAATGTAAGAATTATCACTGTGAAGGGGACAAGAAATAATGAAGAAGAAAATGGCCAACACAATCCACCAGTGACAAAAATAGAATTTTCACTCTTCGTTAAATATACACATTAACAAGATGTTACATTTTGTGTCATTTGTTACAAAAGTTTCAAATAAACGGAAGAGCGGAAAAGCAACCATTGAAATCCATAGAGACCCCCCCAAAAAATGATTACACACTCACAAGGTATCTCAATTGGCACCCTAAACCTAAGATGGGCGATGATAAAGAGAACCTGTTACTAACCCTAAATAAAAGTGACAGGGGATATTAAAAACAAAAATTATAGGGATTCAAACCCCAGCGCCATCCTAAAGAGGAAGAAATGGTTGCATTTCCACTTTAGTTTTAAGTACATTTTCTGTCCTTGTAATGTTCTGTGAACTGAAGTCCTAAACAATGGTATCAGTCTTCCCAATTCTCTCTGTAGACTACAGAACATAGTTGTTCCGCACAGATACAGTTTGATGGGAGAGCATTGTCACAGTAGGGTGTTACTGGCAGGATCACCAGGTGAAAATAATGGGAAGATACTGTGGCAGTGTAAGCCAATGCCACGGTGTAGTTTGGCAACTATGGCACGCAGGACTCTCAGCCAGAGAAGCTGAGAGGGTCCAGAGAGTAAACTATTTTATAAGGAAGAACCCGGCCTTTCAGATTCTTCCAGGTTTTCTGAATTGTAGCTGGGATCTGGAGCTCTGGAGATTTCGTAGAGCTCAGGGTGGGATGAGATCTCCAGTCCTGGGGCCAGGTGTTGCCAATGACCAGCTTGGGCTGATCAGGTGGCTGAGAGCAGCCTTATTAGGAAGCCAGTCCAGTGCTCAGAGTTGAGTTGGAGTTGTGTGTGTGGAAGAGGGACACAGGCAGACTCAGGTGCGTGCTGGACGCACAAGGAACAGCCGGGGGAGGTCAGGAAGGTCGGTGACCCAAGGGACTTGTTGGACACCGCTGAGAGAGTCCATGATCCACTGCTGGGAGAGCAGTGTGAGTATCACACAGAGGTGTGCTGAGAGGCTTAGAGCGGAGGAAAGCTACTAAGGACTGTATATGCTACAAGAAGGCTGATTATTATGAGAACGTTGGCCTTTACGTGAACAAAAGTCTGTCTTTTATGTTGCTGCTGGAAGCTGTCTTGTGTAACAGGGGAAGGCTACACTGTGGATGAACAGAGACTTTTGCCCTTAATAAACTTGAATTTCCTGGACTATAGTCGAGTGTCCTTGTTACAATACTAATACAGCCACCACATCTAGGAACTGAAATATGACCTGCACTTTATTGCATCAGACCCTATGTATATGTGCGGAGAATACATACATGACATATAGGAGAACACAAACTATGCAGACATAAACATTTATTGTATAGAAATGAAGGAGAAATATAACAGAAACAAGCAGAAGGTAAGTTTTATGGACACTGGGAGAATAACACAGAGCGAACATTAATACAATGCATCTAGGAGAACAGAAGTTATTTGGATAGTTGAACATACATTATAGGAACATTATAGGAATATGAGGAGTCCCAGAACTAATGACAATGTTTAGAAGGAAGCAGCTGCTGCTGATGGTACTCACTTGTTGGTCTGGCAGTTGCTGTTGTAGCTGAAGGCGCATTTCATTATGCTGTCCAGGGTCATCAGACTGACATACTGGAAAAGCTCCACCGATTCCTCCTTATTGCACAATGGATCCCATTTATCCTGCCAGAAAACATCACTTAAGACTAAAGCATCAGATGGCTCTTTGCAGCTGCCCTCATGTATGCCTAGAAGCAGTGGCGAATCTAGGAACAATACTTACGGGGGGCACATAAGATACCACAGTCAGATCCGGGGGGCACTAATAATTTTCATTGCATGTCGCAACCGATGGGCGCCGAGAGCTGATTTAATTGCGGATGGCATCTGCGCCCTGCGGTTGCGACAGAAGCTGCATACAGCATGTGCTGGTTACTACTTAAACCGGCGCGCTGTGTGGAGCTTCTGAGAAGATACGCTATTAGCATAGCGAGGAAGTCGGCTGCGCATTTTTCATCCCTCCCGCTACGCTAATAGCGTATCTTCTCAGAAGCTGCACACAGAGCGCCGGTTTAAGT